TCTCTACTGGGTCTCCTCTGACATCACTCTAGTGAGGAGAGGAAGGGGTACCTTGCTACTGTTAGGTGGGGGTAGAAGTCCAGGCTTCCCATGTGGGTCTGCACTAACAGTAAACCACACAGTGTGAGTGGGGAGGTTCATTATTTCCTGGCAGAGATCAAAGTCCCAACTCCCTTCTCTGAAACCATCCCAGTGGGGAGGTTGCGGTGTCTAGTTACAATCTCACCAGAATTAAGTCTAGGCTCCCCACCTGGCTTTTGCCGGTGTGGTTTCTGGTGGGGTCACAGTTTTGTTCTTTCTGTTTTGTTTTCTGTGGTGTTTGGCTGAATCAGAGTGATTAATTTCTAAACGTTTTCTGAACTGCTAGGTTGCCCCTTTCCTGGTCCTTTGGCTAGAGAGAAAAGGCTTTTGAAAAGGCGTTTTTAGCATGTGCCCATTGCCGTTTCTTGGTTGCTGGCTTCTTCAGCTCAAGTTTGGGATATATTAGGTAAAAAGAAAACCCAGAGAACTCACCACTGTGTCATTTCCTGGGTCCCAAGGTCCCTAGTCTGTATGGCTTCTTTTCTCCACCTTTCAAAGCCTACTAATGTGTGTTTTATATATAATGTTCAGGGTTTTCAGTTGTTTTAGCAGAAGGAATAGGGCAATGTACGTCTACTCCATCTTCCTGGAAGCAAAAGTCCCCACTTTTTAAACTGGTTCCCACTATATCCAACCATACAAATTGTTGGAAAAATAAGGGTGTAGTCCCTGGGACAGATTTTTCTTTATGTGATGCTTACCTATCTGGACAAATTTGGACTACTTATCCAACAAAAGAACTATGTGGCTGAGCCAGTCATAAAGAATGTCCAAATCACCATTAAATCATTGTAGGATTTATGAGATAAACTTGTGTACACTAAACATATAAGTCTCTTTTGGATTTCAAAAATACTAATTTAACAAAATTCTATTCAAAATTTTAAAACAATCATTAAACTATATTTGCTTAGGGAACAAAAGTCTTCCTTTTGTGCAATCTGCTCTTTCCAAAGGCACTACATGGAACGATGCAAACAAACCCAATTTCAGACTTTCGAAAAACACATTATGCCATAATAAGCAGATATTTAAATGTAATATCCAGTAATAGAATAAAAGTATTCCAATAACAAATGGCCTAGAACAGTGCCTGCACCTAATAAATATTCTGCACCATGAATGATACCCATAAGATGTTTAAAATTTTACTGTTAGATAGAAAATCACTTTAATTTCTTTGGTTAATGTTAAACATATAAGACTGTCATTTTTCTTTAATTTAAGAAACATGCTTTCATAATTAACAAAAATTATATTTCCAATTTTTATGTGTCACTTGAATCTGTTTAGAATTACACCCTTATAATAATATATTCTCAAATGTGCTTGGCAATAAGCGGAATCAAGGTTATTTTGATTATGAAATTCAGAGACACTGGTTTTATACAGATAGGTCTAATCAGTGAACAAAGAACGTTATAAAAACCTAATAAATCATTAAGAATGAAAGTTCTTTTTAAAGGACTAATACAAGTAATTCTCGTTCAGCTGGTAATTTTTCAGAATAACACAATAACATAAACCAACAGGAAATTACAACACAGATTTTGGTATTCTCACTCCCTATCAACCTCTCAAGGACAAAAATGTTAATTTAACAAAGTAGGATGTTTCTTAAACACCTTAATCTAATGCAGAGCTTCCCAAAATGTGTCCCTCAGAATCCTAATATCCCTTGAGATATTAACAAATGTCCCACAGAAAAAGAAAACTGTAGGATAAACACAGTTAAACAAATTTATCTACTACAGTAATCCTTAAGGCATTTAAAAAAACATATACATGCACTGTGAGCATCCCAAAGAGGATCACAGTCACAAAGTTTTCCAAATTTATTTAATCAAAGAAGCCCCCCTTCACAACATCTGTTAAGTCCTTTTGGAGACACAATCTGAGAAAAATAAAATGGCAGAAGATCCCTTAAATATTGATTTCCTACTTGGTCAGGTAAAATGAATACCAGAAATTCACTAAAAACCATAGCTATAATAATTAAAAAATAATTCAATATAGAAAATATTATGATAAAAGCCTCTTTTTTTAAATTATAGGATACTCCTTGTACTCATTATAAAAATAATCTGCTATCAATCATGCTGAAAAAAGACCATAAAATTATTATTAGGTAAGTGGTAATTCCATTTATATTTTATCTTAAATATTATTCCCAAGTTAACTTATCTGATCATGAAGCTAAAACAACTTCAGAAATTGGATGTTTCAGATGACAAGTTAGGGGAAAAAAAAGTAATAACAACTTTAATATTTAACCTCACACTTAACTGTCTGAAAGTACATACCTGGTTAACCTTACTATATACACATATCCATATGTGGCTTACTGAACAGAACATATAATAAACAGAACATATGGCCATCAAGGTTATGTGTGTGGTTTTTAGCACACACATATATATATTTAAAAAAAAAAACAAACCCACTGCCATCGAGTCAATTCTGACTCATAGCAACCCTATAGGATAGAGTAGAACTGCTCCATTGGACTTCCAAAGCTATAAATCTTTACAGAAGCAGACTGCCACATCTTCCTCCCATGGAGCAGCTGGTGGGTTCAAATCACCAACTTTTAGGTTAGCACCCAAGCACTTTAACCACTTTGTCACCAGGGCTCTACCCGACTCTACTAATAAAGGTAGAAAAATAAGTTTAAAAAGATTTCAATTCAAATTAAGGCCAAAGTTTATATATATTCTGAGTGAGAGATTTTTATAATGCTTTTTTTTAAACTAGATTTTTCAATTCACATTTATAGTCAATTATTTTTTAAAACACATAGCATTAACAAAATACACAATGGCAAGCAGTGATATAAAGCTAATTTTAGATGCTGTGTGATGATTTCTGTGGACTAAGAAATGTAAAGTTATAGGTTTCTAATTCATAAAATAATGGAAATCACTTACCTCTAACTAAAGTTCTCTGAAGGCAGTATCCTCCTTAGAACCCCTATCTTGGGTAGTTGCACCTGCTGTAATTTCCCTCAGGAGATTCCAGTAAAGTCTAGGAAGTTTTAAGTTCCCGTCTGCAAGTCCTATTAGTGCATGTGTGTTATAAAACTGCTCACATACTGCTTCATAGCTGTAATTTCCAATTCCCACTGAACTACCACCACCACCAGTATATGTGGATCAATGGAGGATACTACCTTTGGAGAATTCCATTTAGAAATGTGACTTTTATGACTTCTCCAAAAGTGCCCTCCATATTGTTCCACTGCTGATTATATAGTACTTAAGGGAATGGTGGCAAATCAGCATGTGAATAAATAATGACAAAGATTTAGCTAAAAAATTATATTTGCCAAATATGCAAACAAAAGATTCCAACATGGCAAAAGAAATAAGTTTCCTCAACATTCAGTATGCAAAAAAAAAAAACTGAACTGAAAGTACATGTGAAAAATCTTTCATAAACAATACTGTTTAATAGGTAAGGTGGAAAAAATGGTCTACATCACTTGGGACTACTGAATTTTTCCCTAATATAGCTTGCTAAAGAAGGCTCAATTTAAAAATTCGTTAGAAAATAAGTTATTGAAAGACAAATGTTAATAATTTATTGAATAATTTTCAGTAAGTTATTTCTAGTTCAAATTGCTCAAATTAATCAATAAAACAATATTAGCCACTCAAACCAAGGCCCATTTAAAATGCTTAGTTTACAAAGGGTACTATATCAAACATTTAACACAATTTTTTTCGAATATATTCAGAAAAGCAGACTTTATAACAGTAGTAGAGGAAAGGAGGCTTCATCTTCCACTATTCAGACAAAAAAAATCCACTGCCATCCAGTCAACCCAAAGTGTTTCGAAGGAGCTATGGTTAGCAGCCATAGCTCTTAACCACTGTATCACCAGGGCTCCTTCACTATTCAGGAAAGGTGTTTTACTTGGATGACTGCTTTCGATTCCCATTGACTGGTTCTATAACTATCTGCTAATTTCTTGATAGTCATGTACAAGTAGGAGAAAAAAGCAACTGGACTCAATCATTCTAGAGTCCAGAACAGTAAACCATACTTGTGGCACTATTCTTAGAGGATAAAGTATGGAACAGCTTAAAAACACTGATTTTAACAAAAACTCACCATTAGCTTGATAACAAGATAAATAAAATCCAAAACAACATGATGAAATTCTACTTTCTTCAGATGTCTTCCTTACTTAGCTGTATATTCTCCTGGCACATAAGAGGCTCAAATGCATATTTCTAAATACTGTAATTTTAAATATCAGCCTAACTCCTTCCATGACTCTCCTTTTGAATATCGTTAAACATACATACAAAATGCAATAAGAAAATTATCACAAAGCAATTAATGGATGGATGACAACAAGAGGAATGAGAAAGTCTTAGATAATCCCCTAATTAGATACTCAGTATATAAGCTGACTATATATAATTTTCATTCTTCAAATTATGTGTGTTTATACAATGTGTAGTTTTTAAATTAAATATTGAGAACAGGGATGTCCCTTTAAAAAATGTGGCCTTATAAAAATCAGAGGTTATTTTTCTAATTTGAAAAGTGTACGGATCAAACAACCCCCAAAAAAACAAAAAGTACTTTCCAATACAAAAAATGGTCACATAAAAAGTATTTATAAATTAGATTGTTTAGAAATTCTAAAAATCTGATAATCATCCATCAGAAAGACAAAAACACCGAGCCATGAGGCAGTACATTTGCATTCATTCTTCCTCTTATACATGCACTATTAAGACTCACTGAAGGGTCAAAAATCTTCTAGATCTTGCTAGTTTAAACGCAGGAACGACTAACAACCCAAGAAGGCGTATCTAGGATGATACTTACCTTAAAATAGATTATACCACTGTGCTATTATGTATTCTGTGTAGGGATACACAAGCAGTCAGCTGAAAGGTACACACCACACTAGCAAATGCTTGGCTGGACCCGTAAGGTCGGATGACCAATGGAATATCAAGATATGTGTCGATTCTCCAGCCCTCATAACCACATTCCAGACATCTCACGTAGTCCTTCAACTTGCCTTGATACAGTTCATTTATAAGATCAGCCTAAAAGTAAGAATATTTACAGTTTAAAAACATTTTAAGATATGTGAAAACACAACTCATGTCTTTTAGAATGGATTTCAAAAGAATATTGAGTTTTTACTGCCACAGCTTTAGAAAGCCTTAATATTAGATTTATCAAAAATTCTATAGAAAAAAATTAAGGCTTGACAAAAATTAATTTTAAAAAAATCAGTAAAATTAGATTAACACTGATTTAAGAGTCAATGTGCAAAAATTAACTATTTTGATTCTCATACCTCTAAATATGTACTATTAATGTGGACTATTAAAATAGGTTTTGATGAAAATCAGTCACCAATTTATTATAGTATTATGCCACATATTAATTTTTCCATAGGACAGAATACATCCTATCTATCACTTTAGGCATGTTGATAATTATAATCTAAATAACTAACTTTATAGCTTTACATATGCATATTACCATTTTCACAACTATATATTCAGATTTATAAAATAATATCGTTTACCTCAAGGTGGAAATAAAACTTTTAACTTTCAATAATATACATAATACAATTTTAAGGAGCAACAGGAAATTATAATTTTTTTTTAATTGTACTTTAGATGAGGCTTACAGAACAAATAGTTTCTCATTAAACAGTACACATACTGTTTTAGGACAATGGTTAACAACCCCATGACATGTCAACACTGTCCCTTCTTCTCAACCTTGGGTTCCCTATTACCAGCTTTCCTGTTCCCTCCTGCCTTCTAGTCCTTGTCCCTGGACTGTTGGGCCCCATTAGTCTCGTTTTGTTTTATGGGGCTGTCTCATCTTTGGCTGAAGGGTGAACCTCAGGAGTGACTTCATTACTGAGCTAAAAGAGTGTCCGGGGTCCATACTCTCAAGGTTTCTCCAGTCTCTGTCAGGCCAGTAAGTCTGGTCTTTTTTTGGAAATCATAATTTTTTTTAAATGCACGGAAATTAAAAAAAAATCTTAAAATCCATCTCCCTCAAAATGTCCAAGCCTAAAGAATGGATCTCTCACCTAGTCCCCAAACTTAGCCAACTTGGACTCCTGTGGCTCAAAAAGAAGGCAGGTAATTCCCTAAGTAAGGACCCTCCATGTGAATGTCTTGCCTCAAGATTCTTGTACCAAAACTCAGGAACTCAGTAGGTATGCCCCAGCTGATCTCAATGGAAGTGTTGACCCATACATAGAGAGGGATGTAACAAAGAAGAAGGGCAACTTCAGACATACGAAGAAGAAACAGCCCCTAATAGCATCTTTAGAAAGTTAGTACAGTCCCATAAGACTATGTACAGAAAGCAGATCACTAGATGAACTTAACATTTTTCTTCAATATCTCTTAAATAAAAATAGGTATGAGGGAAAGTAAATTACAGTTTACCTCTTTAATTAATTTACATTTTTTTTAATGGCTAGGACTTATAAGCTTTCAAACTATGATCCACCTTCTCTATTCTGAAACTATTTATTTAATAAAGTCTTCTTTCTTTCTTCACCTGCCTTGGTCATATGTGATTATGTCTTCTGTACCTGGGAGGGCATTTCAAAGTGGTTCAAACCAGTGTTTTTCAAACATTTTTGACAGTAACCCACAACAATTTACATCATAATCTAGTATATAGTATATATACTATAGTATATATAAAACAATACTTACCCCTTTCTTATGTGATGCTCTTATTCTTTTCTATTCTATAACTTTTTCTTTTTAAGTGCTGGTACTGGCCCACTGAACTGATTTCAAAACCATGAATGGGTCACAATCTATAATTTGAAAGACTCTGGTCCAAGTCATCGTAACAGTTCCAATCAGGAAGCAGACCTGCCAGGCTACCTTCCACACTCTTCCTCATTTATCCCTGTGCTCTTCCATCACAACACCCAAGATAATCCCTCCCTTGTACTGTGCCCAATCCAGCTCAGCCTTATTCCTCATGCCAATGATATATCTAACTTTCTCCCCACCTCTAACTTGCTCTTCCTTCTACTGGATAAGAAGAATAGGGTCAAATTAATGAGGATTCTAAGTCAAAAAGCATATGACTATCCTTCCTTAGTCAAATGAGAGAAATGCCTGATGAATAGACATTATAATGTGTTACAGATTATAAGACAAACAATTTATTAGTAAATATCTAAAAACCATCCCCTCTTCCTACCAAAAAAAAAAAAAAAAACCCGCAAACTCTGAATTACATAGTTTTTAGAGCTAAGACAGACTTTCCAGGTCATATAGCCCAATTTCCTTACAAGAAAGGTAAGAAAATTGCAGTGTAGGGTGGGTTGCTGACAATCTTTATGACCCAGGTAATGGCTAAGTGAGAACCTAATACTTTCAATCCCCTATTCAGTACTCTAACCACCAGGCTAATGTGCAAGTTTTAAAACATTCCAATAAAATAAAAGTCACTTTAAGGTAATGAATGATTTATTTGCAAATGCTAACAGTCCTCGCCTCACCTTTAGAGATGTGAATTACCTGTTCTGTTTGTTTCCATTTCTGTTCCAAAGCATCAAACATGACTCTGCACAGTTCCTGAACATCATGCTGCTGCCAAGCTATTTTAAGACAAAACTGAGTTAAAAATAGCAAGAAATAAAATGTAAGAAAAATTAAATTGTTATTTAAAAATAAATTGGCTGAAATATGGCAGAGTCTACACAAAATAATTCTAAATGTAAAAAGAACACAAAATATACATTACAACCATGATAAGGCAATCACAAGGAAAAGAATCAAGAGATTTCAGCATTTTTATTATTTTTCACTGTAAAGAAATATGTTATGAAAAATCTAAGACAACAAATTTAACTTAAATAACTAACAAAAATAGGGTGTACCTGAACTTACTTCACAAGAATAGTTTAATTGATCAAAAATTTACCCCTCAGAGCTTGAATTTTTAAAAATAAGTTACTTTTAAATCCCAGCAAAAAGCAATGAAAGGTATAAGGTAAAGTCAATGAAGTTGTTAACATGTGTTATGTATTGTAATACTGACTGACAGAATTTCTTTGAAAATTAGAAATAGTTATTACAAGAGAATTAGTACCCTCACTACTATCCCATCCAAAGCTCCTTGTAACATCTGTGGTTTCAATTGCTCTCTTTTTGCTGGTTTGTAACAAAACAAAAAGCCTTTGAAGCTGGTATGGGATACTTGTCACTGGATCTTCTTCAGATTCTTCAAATTCCCACCTGTTAAAATAAAATTGGCAAAAATTATTTATAAAATATTTTTATTCTTTAAAGCGTAATTAATATCAAAATCATAATAATGTAAGGTCTTGACTCTGGTGGCTATACAGAGTTCATATATTAACTGAAGCTATTAATACCTAATGAAACATTAGTTCTCTAATTCTTAATTCAGAAGAAATTTTATAAAGAAAAGGCTTAAGATGGCAACAATTCTCAAAAATGAAGAAGTTCATTTAGAAGTAATCATTGAATCTGCATCTGACCAAGTCTCTTGTTCTAATTATTAATTCACAAAAAATACAGGGAACAGAAGAATAATATTAAATGACACTATGAGCATGTTACAAACATCACAACCCAAGATGTGGAAAACTACAGAACAAGTAACATTAGTTTTCAACATATACATTCAATGTTAAATGAATAAATTGCAAAGGGGAAAAATATGGAAGGAGACTAAACATATATTAAATACATTAAAAGAGTCTCATCAACCAATTGCAATGTATGGATCTTGATTTGATTCAGATTTGAACAAATGGTTTAAAAAAAAAAAGAAGAAAGAAATATGAAATCTTATTAGTACTGACCTAAAATGATATTAACAGATGATATAACGTTGGGTTTATGCTTCTTGCAAATAATTGGGGGTATGAGTTATAGATTAAAAAAAAGACTGATCATGAGTTGGTAATATTCAAAGTTGAGTAACAGGTACAGAGGGATTCACAACACTATTTCTATACTTTTAATATGTTTGAACTTTTCCATAATAAAAGATTTTTTAAAGGGAATATAAATAAGTAAATAAATAAAATAATCCAGATAAGAATTTACCCTCATAAATTTATGATAAGCAGCAGTCTAGCTCTAGGAATTGTCTCAGTGGCAAATGAATTGCCAATAGAATTTAAGAGTTCATAAAAAGAAATAAGACTGGAGGGCTAAAGTTGGTAATGTACCCACAAAAGTTCGTAAAATAATTTTGTATTCAATAAAATAAAACATCAAAGACAACATATTAAGTAAAGGCAATATTAATGATTTTCTGTATCTTAAGTTAGTAATAAGGGTACACTTATTAATTTCCACTTCCACACTAGAAGCCTTTTAGTATTAAAGAGACCTAAGCATTCATTCTCCTCTGCTGTAGTTGACCATATTAAAAGGCTTTTTTCTCCCTCTCTTGGTTCTGATCCTCTGTTGAAGTGTTCAATGCTTAAATTTTAGAACTAGAAGTCACAGTCTCTGATCCCCTGCCCTTCTTTCTACACACTGTAGCTCCCTTCTGCATTTCAGATGTCAATGGAATACATTTCACTTTTTTCTCTTCAAAGCTTCCATGCAAACACCTCTACTCAGTATTTAACATCTGCTTTAACCCTCTTCTCTACTATACTCAATCCCATCCCTCTTATTATATACAGCATAAAGGACTTATAATTGACATTTATGGGATCTAAAATTTTCCCAGTAGCTGTGAAGGAACACTGAAGTTAAAATAGAGTATGCTCAAATTTCTTACAAGGGAAATTCACTAGCAGGGAGGAATTACTGTAATATAAACCTGAATTCTCACCTGTCCTTTAGTCCTTTGTTTACAAATACCTTAAAAGGTTTTAAATCTTGCTGATACTTGGTGTTATTCCAGTCACCTAGGTTAGAAACTCTGATACCCTATTTGATTCTTTCTTTTCCCCTACTCCTAAATAAAATTTGTCACTAATAACCCAAGGTTGAGTAAGGAGAGTGTTGACATGTGGTGGGGCTGTTAACCATTGTCATAGGCCAACATGTGTACTAACTGTTTAATGAGAAACTATTTTGTTCTGTAAACCTTCCTAAACTGAGAATAGCAGCACAACTGAAGAACGTAATCGATGTCACTGAACTGTGCATGTACAAATTTTTTGAAATGGTGTATCTTTGGCTATATTTTCACCCAAAAAAAAAAGTCAAGAAGGGAGACAGTTGATATGTCATGGGGTTGTTAACAATGTCATAATACAATATGTGCACTGTTTAATGAGAAACTATTTGTTCTGTAAACCTTCACCTGAAGTACAATTAAAAAAAAAAAATTGTCACTAAGTCATATCAATTCTCAGCCTGAAATATCATAATCACTGCCATCATCCTCATTTTGAACTTCATCCATCCATGTCTGGTTTAATAACAGATTCCTCCAGGGTTTCCTATCTTTCAAATCAATTCTACACACTGCACTATATAAACTTCCCTAAAGCAATGCATTTAACGTGCCTCTTTCCTGTCTCCAAATCTAAAGTGGTAAGATCTTTGTTGACCACTATACAACAAGTGAAGAAAACAAAGCACTATCCTTCTGTGCTAGCATTACCCTGTTGGTAATCCAGCAAGGTGCAGTCTTTTTAAGTAGCTATCCTTCCTTAGTTCTACATTAAGGAACATCCTCAGTGCTCAGGCTTTGTTTTTCCACCTGCTATAAACTTCACTCTATTCTCATAATCTCCAAGGCATTTGGCCTTCCTCTTTGATCTTATTATCTCTTATTCCTCTCCTTACTCACTGGGCTCCAGTTACAATGGATTTCTTTTATTCCTTGTGTGCCTTACCACTTGTTTCTTCTGCCTTTAATGCTCTTCCCCCTAATCTTCACAGGGCTGGCTCCTATGATGTCTATTCCCCTGTTATTTCTTCAGAGAGGTCCTCCCTGATAACCTGATTTTGTGATCCCACCCTACCTCCTGCAGTTACTCTTTCTACATTGTTGTTGCTGTTAGTTGCCATCGAATCAGCTCCAGCTCCAACTCATGGCAACCTTATGAGTAACAGAACATAATGCTGCCCAGTCCTGTGCCACCCTCATGATCATTGGCATGCCCCCACTGTTGTGGTTATTGTGTATTGTGTCAATCCATCTCATTGAGGGTTTCTCTCGTTTTCACTGACCCTCTACTTTACCAAACATGATGCCCTTTTCTAGCGATTGGTCTTTTCTGATGACATGTCCAAATTAAGCAAGCCCAAGTCTCACCACCCTCTAATGAGCATTTCTTCTAAGACTGATTTCTTCGTTCTTCTGACAGTCCCAGTATATTCAATATTCTTTAACATGACTATGTGAAATGAGCTTATTTATTTAGGCTTACCTGTGGAAGCTCTATAGGAGGGACTTTGTCTTATTTACCACTGTAATCCCTGTGCCTAGAAGACTGCTTGGTATAGAGTAAATGTCCAATATCTGTTTGCTGAATGAATAGCCCTGGCTAAGCTCTTGGTCTTCTCCACAGTGCTATAAATTTACAGATCATGTTCAGGTTATTAGAACTCACAGTTAAAAAGCCCCTGGGATCCCCATTCCTCACCCTGGACTATTAAGTCTGTCCTAGTTTTGAGAGCAGGCTCCACACTGCATTTATTAACCTCATCCTCAGTACTCTGACAAAAACTATAGTTATGCTATCTCTTTGAAGGCCCTGTAACACATTATACTTACTGGGATCAGCAATAGCATAAGCAAGGAGCCCTGGTGGCACAATGGTTAAGTGTTCGGCTGCTAACCAAAAGGTCAACAGTTCAAACCCACCCAGTGGCTCTGCAAGAGAAAAAACCTGGTGATCTGCACCTGTAAAGATTACAGCCTAGGAAACCCAGGAGACAGTTCTACTCTGTCACACTGGATCACTCTGAGTCAGAGTTGACTGGAAGGCACCTAACAACAACGTAATACAAGCTGGAGAGAGTACGAGACTCTGGAATCTATTGTGTGTGCCACTTCTAGCAGTATGGCCTTGGGCAAAGTACTTAACACCTCTCGATGCCTTCCTTTACCTTTCTTATAAAAAAAGGATAATAATAGCACGTAATTTATATGGTTACTGTGAAAATTAAATGAGTCTATATGTAAAATGCTTGAACAGTGTCTGATGCTATTGTTAGATGGCACCAAGTCAGCTGCGACTCATAGTGACCCTAGGTACAACAGAATGAAACGCTGCCCATTCCTGTGTCATCCTCACAATCGCTGCTGTTTGAGCCCACTGTTGCAGCCACTGTGTCAATCCATCTCATTGAGATCTTCCTCTCTTTTGCTGACCCTCTACTTTACCAAGCATGATGTTCTTCTTCATGGACTGGTCCATCCTGATAACATGCCCAAAGTACATGAGACATAGTCTCACCATCCTCGCTTCTAAGTAGCATTCTGGCTGTGCTTCTTCCAAGACAGATTTGTTTGTTCATATGGCAGTCCATAGTATAATCTGTATTCTTTGCCAGCACCATCATTCAAAGGCATCAATTCTTCTTCGGTCTTCCTTTTTCATTGTCTAGCTTTTGCATGCATATGAGGTGACTGAAAATACCATGGCTTAGGGTCAGGCACACCTTAGTCCTCAAAGTGACATTTTTGCTTTCTAACACTTGAAAGAGATCTTTTGCAGATTTAATCAATGCAATATGCTTGATTTCTTGACTGCTGCTTCCACGGGCAATGATTGTGGATTCAAGTAAAATGAAATCCTTGACAACTGCAATCTTTTCTTCGTTGTCATGATGTTGCTTATTGGTCCGTTTGTGAAGATTACTGTATTCTTTATGTTGAGGTGTAATCCATACTGAAGGATGTAGTCTCTGATCTTATCAGTAAAATGCCTGGAATAGTGCCTGATACATACTAATAATAACTAACATTAAGGTAGCACTTTTATTATTCACTTTTTTTAAAAAAAATCCTTTCGTTTGCAACGCTCTCTCTTCTCGACCTGGCCAAATCAGATCTAGCTTCATGACTAGCTTCATGACCTAGCACAAGTTCTACTTCCTTCACTAAGCCACTTCTCTAAATGTCATTAATCCCCTTTCTCTCCAAACTTTCATGGTATTTAGCTATCCTTAAATGTTATTTCAACTATTTCATGCATATACATAGTGCTATTGTGAAGAGATCTATAAACTACTCAAGAACAAAGACTTCATTTCAAACTCCTGCTCTATCCACCAAGTGTCTAGCATATAAATACTGCTCCCATTGTGTGCCCTTGAGTTGATTCCGGCTCACAGTGACCCAATATGACACAGCAAAACTGCCCCATAGGGATTCCTAGGCTATAATTTTGACAGGACCAGATTGCCAGGTCTTTTCTCCTGTGGAGCCACTGCTGGGTTCGTAACACTGACTTTTTGGTTAGCAGTGGAGCTCTTAACCATTGTGCCACCCAAAAAACCAAAACCCATTGTTGTTGAGTTGATTCTGACTCATTGAGCCACCAAGGCTCCCATATAAACACTACTGGGTAACAAGTACTTGTTGAATGAAAAAAAAGTCAACTTTTACAAGTAAATTCAGATGATGAGCTTGTAGATGAATGTAATAGTAATACAATGTTGTTTGAATCATATAACCAATCCAAATATACTTTAAATGCATAGTCACTGTAACTTCAAAGATGTTACTCAAAAGCAACACAAAAAGGGAAAAAATCAGTTTATTTGTATTTTAAAATAGCTTTAAAAAATAATGAAGTTATATATTTTAAAGAAAATATACAAAGTAAGGATGTATATGTATTATAATAAGACACTCATAAAAATAAATGCCTGACTTTAGGGTTTATTTATAGACTTCCTCCATAGTGTATTTTAAAGTATCTGATACATATATACAGTTTTTTAAAAATGAACACATACACACATACAGACATACAAGCTATATCATATTTTAATTAGAACCAAAGTTTGCAAATTTAAAAAGAAAACTGGTTTCTTAAATTGAGAAGGAGAGGGAAAGAAGAGTATATGGTTTATATATTCAGATTCAAAAGCACGCTGACACTTATTTCTTAATAAAGTTGCTAAAGCTGTAAGTGAGGGAAGTTTAATACAATAATTTATCCTAAATGTAAATCTTATTTTTTCCTTTTGTTGTCTATGCACTTCTGATTCTCTCTGCCCATAAATTTTTCACATGACAGTTTCACACAAGATCCATGTTCTCAATATAATTGACGGTGTGTCTGATGAAGTGAGAAATGTCCCATACATTACAAATATATATAAAGAAAGCAAATTACATTTTATTAGTTAAAATCTATATTTCATTCTTAAATCACTTTTATTTATAGAATTGTTTTTAATACTCACTTATATAATGCATTCCTAAATTCAGGAGTCATAAAAAGTGTTTGCAAAAGGCTATTCAAATAGCAAGTCATTGCTTGATTTACTAAGCCAACATATCCTTTAAAAAGAAAACACAAATATGCATAAATCAGCATTGAGATTAAAACATAACAAATAGGAAAACTTAAGAATTTAATACATAGTATTTAATACATAGTAACGATTGAGAGGTTAAGGTTACTCAGTTGGAAATTATTTCAATTTTTTCAGCAATACACAAGACAGATCCTTTTTTCTAATTATGTACACTATGTAAACATACGTTTCTCAGAAATTTTATCTCCTGAAGTCTAGAAGGATATCTTGTAATAGATATACACATAATATGGCATTTAATAAAATTTTAAGAGTAAGTTTAAAATAGTGTGTTTCATTGGTATAATAAGGTTTCTTCCTCAAATCTAAAAGTTGTATATTAAAATGGAAATGTATAAACAAATTCTCTTTATATATACTACACACCTAAAGTAGGAAGACTGTATGGAATCAGTTATCCCTGTTACCAGGCCCTATACACAAATTTCTACTAAGAATTAATAACATAAGATAAATCCATTATATACAAACTCCCAAAAGCTGAGACTATTTTAACAAGCCCATAAGTCTCAAATTCTATAGATCAGCATGCTATACAAAATGTAAATATAAAGAAAGAAGAGAATTCAGAGATGGAGGGAAGAAGGAGTGAAAGGAGGAAGAAAGAGGAAAGGGAAGGAAGGAGAAACATACATGAAACTAAAATTCAAGTGAACATTTAAAAGGAATTAGCTTTATATACCTAATTGGATGTGGCAGCCACTGTCGGGAACATTTCTGGAATTTCTCTTTTGGAATAGATTTCAGCCCCAAGTTATAAGATACACATACACACAAAAAAATCATCCTCATAATTTTAGTCATGCCACATGATTTGAGAAATGTGTGGTAAACAACTTGCTTAAACATATTTACTTCCACTTAATACGAAATGATTTAGCTGTCTCAAAAAAAAATTAAATCAATAGATGGAGACGCTGTTTACTGAAGCTCCCAAATACTTTTTCCAATTTCTCAACAATTATCAAAAATGTCTCAGAAATGGTAGGCTCGGTGGATAACTGTATTGCCAAAGAAGGTGATGAAAGGACTAACAAAGAATGCATGGTGAACCTTGGTCAGTTGTGGAAAACAGGAAGAGTTTCCACAACATCTACACTAGTATGATTTCAAAAAGAGGTCAACTACCTGCCGCCCACCCTTCACCGTGGACTGAGGCTCAAGTTTTGATTTCTAGTCCCTTTCATTTTCACTTTAAGAATGCTGTGTACATGTGTTTATGTATTTTATTCTACCTTATTACAGTTTTAATTATAAACTGCTTCAATTCCTGACCACTTCCCACTTGAATTGTTCCTAGAGCACCCTGTGCTTAATCCATATTAGAGCATTTATCTCACTGTTCTGCAATTACCAATTTACTTATATGTCTTCCCCACCAGAGTGTCAGGACAGGGATTGAATCTGATTTATCTCTCTACTTAGCACAATGGCACGTGCACAACGAAGGGGCAGGGTATATGACTTACAAATAAAACAAATTTGTATGATATCTGACCTAATCATAAATAATAAAAAACATTATTTCATTCTTAGTTCATATAAAGACACTTCCACACAAGCAACAGTGTGTTATATGTATTATAATAAGATACTCATAAAAATAGATGTCTAACTTTAGGGTTTCTTTATAGACTTCCTCCATTGGTCAGGTGACCAGGTTGTTCTGTACCTTCTTCTCAGCTGAGGCTTCCTGGGATTTCCCATTCTTCTCTCCATCTACTTCCCCCAATTCCTCAACAGTCAGGGATAGAAGTCAGCTGCAGATGTGGCAATCCCAGGGCAAAATAAGGGTAAGTTAAAGTTGCTTCAAGGAGCCCTGGTGGAGCAGTGGTTAAGTGCTTGGCTGCTGAGAGGTTGGTGGTTCAAACCCACCAGCCGCTCCACAGGAGAAAGATGAGGCAGTCTGCTTCCGTAAAGATTACAGCCTTGGAAACCCCATGGGGCAGTTCTACGCTGTCCTACAGAGTTGCTATGAGTTGGAATCGACTCCATGGCAGCAAGTTTTACTCCAGAGAAGCTAAATCAGCATTTTGGGGACTAAGGCCTTGGAATCTGCATTTTAAACAAGTACCCTCAAATGACTTTTAAAGAAACAAAAATTTGAGAATCACTACTCTAATACAGTATAGTAACAGCTTTGTATCTCCTATTATCTGAAATAAAAGATAATTTTGCATTCTGTTTTTTTCTTGATGAATTTACTGTAAAAGTTTTATTGATACAAATGATCCAAAACACCAAATATAATCAGGTTTTAGTGTTATTTCCCTACCAAATAAAACATTAAGCCTGCACAAATGATTAACTAAGAAAATTATCTGAAGTTTTAATTATTACAGTAAATAAAACACTACAAATCACATTAAAACAAAATCTGCAATATCACTCCATAGTTCCCTTTTTCTCCTAGATATTTTTATGTAATATTTAATATCACCTCTGTTCTGAAGTTCTAAGAGCTAAGATTCTGAACCCATACCGAGCATGAAAAGCCATTCATTAGATGTGCAATCAAAGTCCTCTCTGAATCTCAGTTTCCATTTCTTTCAACTTAAATAATACTATCTACTGCAAAGGTCTATTGTCAGATTAAATTGTATAACACATGTAAGTGTCTAGATCACACATATTAGGAAATTAAGCAACCTGATATGTAAATGACCAAGCCCCTGAATAAAGAGTTTAAAAATTCAAAAAACTAGGCTGAATCATGTTTACAAATAAGTTAGCAGTAAGTTTTTAAATGGCATGATTCATTTCAAATGTGACTGGATTGAACTAAAAGACAATATGTCCAATAAAGTAAGTCCTGCCCATCTACTTCAAAATGGAAGTTATCTCCTGTAGTCTTTCTAATCCAAAAAGAGATTAACAGAGTTGTTCCTTTCCAGAAGAAATTAACTTTAAAAATTTAAGATTATATTCAAAATAGAAAATTATCAAAAAGAAAATTCTTCCTTCAAACACAGTATATAATGTTTTACTTTATTAGTACCAAGCGACAATAACAATACAGTTCAAAAAAAATAACAACAACAACAGATTGAGGGAAAGGGAAACCATGTTCTTATTCTAAATGTATTGCTGCTACCTAGCTAGCTTTGGTAATCTTGCTCTGGTTCTTAGTATTCTTATCTATAAAATGAGGGGATGAGGACTGAGATATCTAAGATCACTCTGGGTCTGATGTCCCATGATTTTATGAAAATACAAAACAATAACAATAAGTCTTACCAGTTTCTGATTTATTCAAAATAGATGAATAGGAGTAGCTTTGGCTGACATAATCACTGGTAGAGCCCACAGAACATTCTCTTGGAAGAGGACCTATAAACCTGTCATGAACATTGTCATCCACAGCACTGGAATCCTCCTAAAATACAGCATAACCAATATTTACTGAATAGCAAATTGTTGCTAGAACGATGACAAAAGACATACTTATTGCTGAGGCAAAGAAAAAGACATAGCTTTACTATTACTTTTATCACCAAGGCGTTCAAAGGACTGTATGCCCTTACCATTTCTGTAAGAAAGTTTAAAAGATGCTGATGTCTTCTTCCAAAATTCTCACTTTCTCAATTCTCTTTCAAATTTTCTCTTAACATGAGAGAGAGACTTTTTGGTACTAATAAATTAGAAGTTCCACTGTGAATTCCTTAATGGCAGATTCTACCATTTATGTTTATATCATTTGTGCCAAGTAAGCCTGACAGGCAGGAGATACTCAATAATTGTTGGATAAGAAGGATAGTTTCCTACTGTTTCCAACCAAAAAACGTCCTATTAATGAGGAAGAAGTAAAAAGGATTGTTGTCATTTGCTGCCGAGTCGGCTCCAACTAATGGTGATCCCATAAAAAACAGAACAAAACACTGCACCATCCTGAGCCATCATCATGATGGCTGGTATGGTAGAAGCCATTGTTGCAGCCACCATGTATTTTGACTGCCTTCCAACCTAGGAGTTCATCTTCTAGAACTATATTGGACAATATTCTGTTGTAATCCATAAGGTTTTGATTGGCTAATTTTGGGAATTAGATAGACAGGCCTTTCTTACAAGTCTGTCCTAGTTTGGAGGCTCCTCTGAAACATATGCAGCATGGGTGACCCTGCTGGTATTTGAAATACTGATGGCATGGCTTCCAGCGTTATAGCAACACACAAGCCAACACAGTAGGACAAACTGACAGATGGGTAGTGGGGAAAAGGATTAAGAGACATAAAATGAAGAAAAATTAGTTAAGACAGCAATACATAGATGGGGAATTGCCAGAATTTCAGGCCGGATTCAGAAGAGGATGTGGAACAAAGGAAAACACTGTTGATGTCAGATGGATCTTGGCTGAAAGCAGAGAATACCAGAAACATGTTTACTTGCGTTTTATTGACTATGCAAAGGCATTCAACTGTGTGGGTCATAACAAATTATGAATGACATTTTGAAGAATGAGGATTCCAGAACACTTAATCGTGCTCATGAGGAACCTATACACAGACCAAGAGGCAACCATTCGAACAGAACAAGGGAATACTGCGTGGTTTAAAGTCAGGAAAGGTGTGCGTCAGGATGTATCCTTTCATCATACTTATTCAATCTGTATGCTGAGCAAATAATCTGAGAAACTGGACTATATGAAGAAGAACACGGCATCAAGATTGGAGAAAGACTCATTAACAACCTGTGATATGCAGGTGATACAACCTTGCTTGCTGGAAAGTGAAGAGGACTTGAAGCACTTACTGATGAAGATCAAAGACTACAGCCT